GTATTAGATTTGTGTGGCCTGTCCTTCCAGTCTCACTCTGCCCCCACCTTGGACACCTGGGACACCCTCCCATTGTCTGATTGGTTTTTGGCTCCTTCCTGTCACTGACTAGTCATCCAGCCATTGTCTTTAGACTCAAGAACCCTTCCTTGGCTGCCTGGGCTCATAATTCTCCGAGCCACAGCCCTAGCCCTGGCTGTTTCTGCTCACTGTTTGTCATCAGCCCAGCATCTGATCCCAGAAGCCTCTGCAAGCTTTGAATGCTGCAGTTAAGTGTTGGTGACACCTTTCTCTGTGCCAGTCTCTGGGCTGGGTGCCTCAAGTTGAGGCAACCATTTCCCTGGACAAGTTGGAATAGCCTGTGCTTATGCCGTGATGTCACTGGCATCTCGGGCTCCTGTGCACTGCAGCTTCGACAGTGAAAAAGCAGGGGACCGGGAGGTGCAGAGGACCATGCTGGAGCTTCTGAACCAGCTGGATGGCTTCCAGCCCAACACCCAAGTAAAGGTGAGTGAAGAAAATGCAGCTCAGCAGTTGGGCCTTCGCCTCTGTCTTTCCCACACCCTGGGCTATCTCCTTTTAGAACCATGAGTATGCCCTTGGGTAGACACACTGCTCATCAGTTCGAGCTGCTGCTTCCTCTCTTCCTTAGGTAATCGCAGCCACTAACAGAGTGGACATTCTGGACCCTGCCCTTCTCCGCTCAGGACGCCTGGACCGCAAGATTGAGTTCCCGATGCCCAACGAGGAGGCCCGGGCCAGAATCATGCAGATCCACTCACGGAAGATGAATGTCAGGTCAGCTGCAACAGCACTTTTGGACCCTCCGTTCTCACCACTCCTGTTCTGTGGTTCCTCAGCCTCTGACCACCCCTCCCCTTCCTATGCATACACATAGCCTCCATTTCTTCCCACTGCCTGAAGTAGAGTTGTGCTGGGGCTCAGACCCTACTTCCCATCTAAAGACACATAGACCTCCACAGCCCAGTAGGTGGGCACAGCCCAAGCATGGCTTAGGAGAATCTGACCAAGACCAGATAGGTGATCTGAGCTCAGACCTCCACAACTTTGAGAGGTGGACTAACCTAAGCATGTTCTGTTATTTGAAACTGGGGATAATTATTCCACTTTCAGAATCGGCCATGATAATGTTTTTTTTTTTTTTTTTTTTTAAATCCCTCCTGAGACAGGAATTCTGTGTGTATCCCTGGCTGTCCTGAAACTCACTCTGTAGACTAGGCAGGTCTCAAACTCACAGAGATCTGCTTCCCAAGTGCCAGGATTAAAGGTGTGTGAGTGCCAGGATTAAAGGTGTGCACCACCACTGCCCAGCACCGTGATGATCTTTCAAGTACAGTGCTTGACACATGAGGACAGATGTGGTAGCTACATTGTGCTGGCTGGCGGAGGGCTCTGTGGAGTTATAATATCTTCCTCTATATAATCCTTTGTCCCATACCTCAGGCAAACTTGGTTCCCGGGATCTCAGATACAGGGTTCTAGAAGGCTGGAGTTCCAGAGATCCTATAGTTAATCTCATTAACCTTCAACTCCTTACTTTATACTGAGAAGAAATGTCAGGGTAGGTAAAGACTTGCCTGCCAGCAAAAAGCAAGTTGACTTTATTGCTTGATGTTGCATAGTAGAACATATTCTCATTCCCTCCTCATGAGTAACCAAGCTCTGTGGTGTCTGTCCTTTCTCCAGTCCTGATGTGAACTATGAGGAGCTGGCCCGTTGTACTGATGACTTCAATGGAGCGCAGTGCAAGGCCGTGTGTGTGGAGGCGGTGAGTGGTCAGGGGATGGGTGGGTCGTTTTAGCCTTACCCTTTCCCTGGATAGGTTAGGGGTCTAGGCCTTTGGAAGTTGGGCTCAGGGTGCAGGGAGGCACCCTAGATCATATCTGTCCTGGCTACAGGGTATGATCGCACTGCGCAGGGGTGCTACGGAGCTTACTCACGAGGACTACATGGAGGGCATCTTAGAGGTACAGGCCAAGAAGAAAGCCAACCTGCAGTACTATGCCTAGGACCTCTAGTCTGCCTACTGATCTGTGGGCTAAAGCTGATAATAAAAGGCATTTCTGTTCCATGCCACCTGTCTGTCTCACCCTCCGTGGACTCAGGGTGGGAGTGGCATGTATGGAGGGGATCTTTTCCTCAGGAGCTGTAGCCTCAAAAAATCCCAGATAGCCATGGGCCCCAAACCAGCTGTCTGGGTGAAGCCCTGTTATAGGGAGGTACAGGGCACAGCTGTTGCCTAGTCTTCTTCAGTCCCCTGTCTAATGTCCTCCTTAAGTCTCCTCTCCCCTGATCCCTGCTGCAGCTCTGACCTTTTTAGAGGCTGTGGCCTTGGAGTTCCAGAAGGAAGACCCTAAAGAGAAGCTAGAATTTCCCATTTTGCATTCCAGTGCTCTAGTTTTTGTTGCCTTGTAAAATCAAGGTTTAGGGTTCAGTTCTTGAAATAAACTCCAGTGTCCTGGCTTGTGGACATCCTGTTTCTCCACAGGTCTTATTAGCCTATCAGTCCTTTTTCTGGCTTGAGCAAGATCACTGTGAAAGCCATTCAGGCCTAACTTTCCATCATGCTGCTGTCACCCAACCTTACTCTGCTGTCTGCTCTGCTCTATGGAGCCACACGGCTTTCAGTCTTTTCAGCCCTATTTTTGCTGCCCCAAACGCTAAGGTTACAGGCATGCCCCACAGTCCCCCCCCCTTTTTTTTTTTTTAACTTATGAATAGTGTTGTACCTGTATGTATGCCTACATGACAGAAGAGGGCACCAGACCTCATAGATGGTTGTAAGCTACCATGTGGTTTCTGGAGATTGAACTCAGGACCTCTGGAAGAATAGCCAGTGTTCTTAATGGCTGAGCCATCTCTCCAGCTCCCACCATTCCCAGTGGTGCTAAGATAGAACCCAGGGTTTAGTCCATGTCGGGCATACACTCTACCACCTGAGATACATCCCTGCCCCTGTATAGGTTAATGAATAATTTTTATCAGGATAGCAACTGTAGAGTCCATGTATTATTTTTAGTTTGTGTGTGTGCACATACATGTGGTCAAGACATGTAGCTGTCAGAAGACAATTTTGTGGAGTCAGTTCTCTCCTTCCACCTTTATCTGGGTTCTAGGGGTTGAACTCAGATCAATAAGCTTGCACCTTTACCCACTGATCCATCTCACTGGCCTGGGTGTATCCATTTACAGATGCATTTAAGCCTTTGGGCTGAAATAATACATAATGAGGTGGTGTATCAACAATTTTTTTCTTTTGAGACAGGGTGTCACAGTAAGTCTTGACTAGCCTGGAATTTTCTGTGTATACTAGGGTGACCTTGAACTCTGGCTTGTGGACTTTAAGATTAGTCTCAAGAGTGCTAGATTAAAAGATGTGCCACCTTGCCTGGCCCCCATCATTTAGATTTCCATTGAGCTATTTTACCAGTGGCTTTGGCAGCCCTGAATGTCCTTTCAAATCTGTTAATCCTCAAAATTCCACATATTGCAAAAAAAAAAAAAAAAAAAAAGAGTAAAAATCCCTTGCCATTTCACTTTCCCTTTCTTCTTTCCTTCCTAGTAGACATGACTTAACACCAACTTGTCACACCTCCACAGGGCGCCACCTTACCAGCTCTCCTAGGTTTTTCTTTTCTTTTTTTCCTTTCTTTTTATTTTTCAAGACAGGGTTTCTCTGTGAAGCCTTGGCTGTCCTGGAACTCACTCTGTAGGCCAGCCTGGCCTCAAACTCACAGAGATCCTCCTGCCTCTGCCTCCCGAGTGCTGGGACTGCAAGTCTGGTGCTCTCCTCTAGTTTAACCCTCCCCATATGTGCTGAGTCACTGAGCATTGCATGCTGTCTGATGTTTTGCTCCAGGAGCTGAGCAGCTAAAGATTTTGTCCTCTGACCTAGGCTTAGGTGCCCCCTCCTTTCCAGCCAGAGAGAATTTGCTCATGAACCAAGTGAATGTGCAGACATCACCCTCACCTTCCTGGCTTCCTCACAGTACAGCAGAACTCCTTCTACACCCCTTGGAGGAGTACAGTGGAGGACACTGATCCTTGGCATGTGTTTTGTCAGCCTTCTAGCAGGGCCTTCACACCACAGTGGCAGCCCTGAGCACCTGCTGACAGGAAAGACAACTGACCTTTGAGTCATGAGGGTCCCTGGACAATTAGCTTACTGATGTCAGCCAGGTGGACCGGATCTCCCTTGGACTGCTCGTAGAACACTGACAGCTGAGCATTCTCAGCTAAGGAGGCAACTGATTTGGTTCCCCACCTACTTGCATTAGACTCACAGATGGATTATCCCTACCAGTAGGCTGCTGAAGGCTGCTTCGTGCCTTAGGGAGGAGAGTGGGTAGGATTCTTCCTGAAGCTGCTAATGGAGAAGCAGTGCCCCCTGGTGTGTGATGGTCATGGTGCAGTCAGGGAGGGAGCCTAGTAAAGACCCTTTTTCCTCCTGCCTGCATTTGGGGAGTAGGTGGTATGAGGAGGCTCAAGTGAGATAGGGTCTCATGTAACCCAGGTTGGTCTTGAATTCATTGTTCTACCTGATGTGTTACTATATCCAATGCTCCTTCCCCCATGCCTTTTTCCCCTTGTTTTTCAAAATGGGCATTTCATGTAGTCTGGGCTGGCCTTAAACTCCAGGTCCTTATTCCTCCATTCCTAAATGCTGGGTTATAGCATGACACCACACCTGGCTCTCTTAAGTGAACTATAATTCCACTGAAGTCAAAGCTGGAAAGGACTTTCTGGTCCTGCTCACTTGCTAAGAACTGCTAAGGGGGAACAGGGAAATAAATATCCTTAGCTTTATAGGTCCATAAGATCAGTGGTAGTGATGAAGGCTCAGATGAGTGCTCAAGCATTAATGGGATAAAAGGCTAACCATGAAACAGGCAGGGAGATAAGAAACCTCCAGAGATGCACAGCAAGTGTAGTGGATCTGGCCAGAGCACTCAGCAAGAGTGTTATTATGTGGAACAGGCAGCGGTCTAGGTAATATTTATTTTATCTATAGAACAGGTATTTACAGATAAAGATGAACCACAGTATAACTACTATGGGATCACTCAGACTTTTCAGTGGCCACTTCTAACACCCACAGTTGTGCAGCAGGGCTGGAGTTTGGCTGGAGAGTGGGCCAGCTGAGTACCTGGACATCAGCCAAGTGAAACAGTTGGGGATTATGGCTTCAGCATTCTCCCAGTTCACATTCCTGAACGCTGACAATGTGGAGCCCTCACCACCCCCACCTTACCCTCAACCCAGAGGACTAGGGGCCTGAGCAGGGAAGGGCAACAAGACTCATTCTCCCTGCCTGCATGGGGCATGTCTGCTGGACCCTGTGCAGGCAGGAGCATCCTGAAGCTGCACTGGGAGACTGCTAGCCTGAGGACTACTCGGCTGCCTTGCAGGCTGCTGTTTGGAGTCAGGGGCGGTGAGAGCTGCCTATGAGGCTAAGGAGCATTTGCTGGGGAAGCATGAGCCCAGGCTGGCAGCCCTGAGGATGCAGCCCTTGAGGCTGTGTAGGACATCAGTGCTGTGCGGGGCTGGGGTTACAAAGCACCCTCCACCCCTTTCTTTGGCTGCCGAGGTGGTGTAGGAGGGCTGTGTAGTCTCTGTCTCTAAGGTGCTTGGGACCTGAATGGTCAGAGCTTCAGTTGCTCTTGGGCTAGAGGCCCAGCAGGGACAACTCTGGTTCTCTGTACCCCTGGGCTCTTTGGGCTGCTTTCTTTGAGTGGGAAGTGAGGCCTGTGCTGGCACCAGTGCTGTCCTCCCTTGCTGCTAGGTGACAATGGGGTGTGGCTGGGCAGGCGCTGCTCTGTACTCTGCACACAGGGATCACAGTGTCGGTCTCTTGCACACATCTGGCTGCACGTGCACACCATACCCTCTGTCCAGTGAGGCTGGTTCTAGCATTCACCCTCTGCCTCACACACAAAGTGACAGAACAAGTTGGCTCTCTTATTGCTTGCTATGCAGAGTGGGATGTCAGGAATGGTTATTCGACGAAGAATGAAAGCAGCACCATCACCACAATGCCGGAGCAGAGCAGCAGCACCTGCTGCAGGGAGTGCCTGTTGGGAGAGGGTGGCTTAAGAGGGTGGACAGGGTGGCAAAGGCAGCAGTTCCTCCTGGGTCCCCTCATTGGCCATCCCAGGAGGTCGGTCACTCACCACAGGTCATCTTCTTCCAAGAGGTCAGGCAACACATTGACCAGGGCAATATAAAGAAAGCCTCCAGAGGTAAAGGGCAGGATCCAGAGCACTGTTTCCTCTGTAGGGAAGGGTCAGCTGGTGGTGAGCCTGGGAACTGTATGTACCCCACCCTCTCCTGCAGGGGAGACCAGGCAGACACGAGCCCTATAGCAGCAGGACAGGGGTGCCATGTGGCTGGTGCACCTCTGTTGAACACTACCACTCTCATACCTACTCCTTTGGGAGATTGTGTACAGATGGCGAAGCAGGCCCCCAGAAGGCCCCCCAGGGCTGTAGAGAACTGTAGCTTGGCTGCAGTCCATCGGTCAAAGCCAGCGCGGAGCAGGATAGCAAAGTCACCCACCTGAGGAAAGGACCACGTGAACACCCAGCCTCCTGTCTACCTTGCCCCTGGGCCAGTATTCAGTGAAGCTGTGCCCCTCCTCTAGCCCACTTCTGTGGGCAGGCCCACCCCAAAGCTCTGCCCAGGTTCCATACCCATTGCTGAGCCTGGGAACCTTGGGGTCTCTGGCCTTGGTGCCATCCTCTGGGCACTTACCTCATGGGGGATCTCATGCAGGAGGATGGCCATTGTGGTTAGAAGCCCGATCTGCAGAAATGGGAGTCTGAGTCTGATGCCTTGGCTGGGTAACTAGACTTCCCCCCCATAGCCAGCCCCTCTACAAACGTGAATGCTGCTCTGGGTAGGACACTGTGGCTATAGGAAAGACAGCAGTGACTGAAGGAGACAAAGAGCCTGCCTCTCAGCACTAACAGCCTTGATGCTCCAATATGGTGTGTCATCTACAGATGTGCTGGCACATTCGTAGCACATTGGGACCACATGCAACCCCTGAGCTGCAGGTTGGATGTGCCTGGTAGAGACAGGATCACAAAACAAACTCCTGTGTGGTTCCTTGTGGAGCGGTGCTATGAAGAAGAAACAGGTGCCCTGGAGAGCAGGTGCCTAATCAGGGTGAGAGTGCAGATGCCTCTTGGAAGTACATTTAAGTTGAGGCCCGAGGGATGAGGAGTCAGCTGTTCCAAGAGTGGGAGGAAGCATGTTCCAGGAAGAGGGCACAGTGGATAAACAGCAGTGTTCTGGAGGTACTACTGGGGCCAGAACACAGAAGACAGCAGCAGATAGGGGAGCATTTACTAGTGGGCAGGGCCAAGTCTAGGAGCGATAGAGACATCCAAATGGGGGCCGGCAACAAGAACGGCAGAATGGGGTGGGAGACTAGAGGTTAAGAGTGCTTACTGCTCTTCCCGAAGGCTCAAGTTCAGTCCCCAGCACCCACACTAGGTTGCTCACAACTGCCTATAACTCTAGATCCAGATCCAAATCCAGCTTGAGGATCTTTTGGCCTCCAAGAGGACACAAATGTGACACTAGCACACACACATGCAAATAAAAATAAATCTTGGAGGAAAAGGAGGGTCAAGGGAGACAATGCAGAGACTATAGCAGCATCAACAGAGGGATAGGGACAGGGGCTTCATGAAGGTGCTGTTAATAAAAGCAAGCAGAGACTATTTTGGAGGTGATCAAATTGGTTGACATAGGTATATCATTCCCACCAGAAATGCTGGAGCTCCGCCTGCTCCACCCCTTACCTTTTTGCTCACAAGAAAGCTGGCGGCCACAGCTAGCCCATGAGTGAAGTTGTCTATGGTGTTGGCCAGCAGGTTGAGATAGCCACTGACCTGGGTGAGGGGAGAGAAAGCCAGGCTGAGCCAGACAGGCAGAGCTGAGCTGGCCATTCAGCTCTGCAGCTGCAGGAGGGGGGCCCTCATGGGCCACTCACTTTGAGGTTCCGGACCACGGCTCTCAGGCCGGGCTCTGCAGCCGGCTGGGCCAGACAGTGGCCTCCATTGAGCGCGGCAGCAGTGGGGTCTTTGCTGAGGGCCTACGGCCAGAAGAAGGAGAGAGAGAGAGGTGACATTAGATGCCCCCCACTCAGACAGGCAGACAGAAAAAGAGAGGAGGACAAGAGACACAGAATACCTCTTTGATCTTGCTAGATTTTGCTGCTCCGTCAGCTACATTCCCCAGACCTCACCCCCACATCGTTGTCCTTATCAAGCTATAAGGTCAAACTAATTCAGAGGCTGATGCTGTCACTGTCATGAGTTTCCTAAAGAAGTTGGCCCACCCTCCCACAGCTCTCAGGAAAGAGCCAGGAGATACCTTTTGAAGGACTTAACTCAGACCCTGGGCTTCTCCAGGGCTAGGGTACTTACTTTAGAAAACAAAACAAAACTGACATATCCAGGCTCTAGGGCCTATGACTCACCTGGCTGGGGCCCTCTTTCTCCTTGCTATTCAGGAACATCTTCTCCAAGGCCAGAAAGGTCAGGAAGCCAGCAATGACCCATAGCCCCAGCTGCTGCTGCTGCTGCAGACTCTGTCCTTCACCACCTGCAGGGGGAGCACTAACAGGCCATGCCAAGCCAGTGGCTAGAAGGGAGCCATTTGGAATGGGACCTAGAAAAGGGCTAATCCAGGGAGGAGGGTCCTGGGGTGGGGTGGGGGGCGGGGAGGTGGCACCTGCTGAACAAGCAGCTAGGCTCTAGGACTCCCAAAGAGGCCAGGGCATCAGGATTAGACCTTCCCTCTCAGATCCCTCCTGGATCTCTCTTCCCATACCCCTCTCCCAGCCCCTGTAGAGCCTGCAGGGCCTAGACCAACCCTAGGCTCTCCTATTCTGTCCTGAGGTCTCACTCACCGGGACTGATGCTACAGGTGTAGGCCCAGGCCTCTGGCAGCAGGTGTAGAAACACATTGCCCAAGAGTCCACCTAAGGCGAAGCTGAGCAGCTGTTTCAGACGCCAGGCTCCAGCTACAAAGCAGAGATGTGAGGTCCTGTGCTGTTCCCAAGCTCACCCATTTCTAGACTGCAAGCTCCCAAAGGCTGGATTTCCAAAGGCTACTGCTTTTCTGGGTAGCTCTTCCCCAACCCAGGAAGGGCAGCAAGGGCAGTGTTCAGAAGGAACATGTAACAGTCTGAAGAACCCCTGTGGACTCACTGACGATTGCATATTGGTGAAGAGATGGACAAGTCCCAGCTCTCCAACCCATCTATCTGCTGGCATCCAGAAGGTAACTTCTGAAACTCAGTTTCCCCAAGTATAAACTGGATCTTGTCAGAATTAAACAACAAAACATAAAGCAAATGTTCGTTAAATGGGAATTTCTCTCCTCAGCTAGTGCCACCTTAGAAGACTTGACAGAAACTTGGGGTTTTTATGGCTTGCACATCAGTTGATAAAGCAACAGGCCTAGAGGACAGAAGCAGCTGGTGGTGGTGTGACTCCCAGGGGACACTGCTGAGTTCAAGCTAGCCAGAAAGCAAATGCTTCCCACTTGTAAAATGTAGCTAATATTCCAAGTACATCCTGGACTGACCCTGCCTCACACATACAAAGTGAGCATTCTGCCACAGAGCTACTCATCCCCTGAGCTGTTTGAAGTGGGACACTTGTTGCATGGGTATGACAGGCTCCAGGAGGGCTTGGTTCCCAGCTTGTCGCAACCATCAGACAGACACCATCCAGGAGCCATCTAGTTTATTGAATGGTTCCTGAGCACGTCAGATGGCAAAAGGCTAAGGGTATTCATTCTATGTATTCATTTATTAGAGAGAGGGAGAGAGAATGTGCGTGCATGCACTCATGTGGAGGGCTGAGGACGACTCTGAAGAGTATGTTCTCTGCTTCCTCCTTCACACGGGTTTCAGGAATGAAATCAGTTCACCAGGCTTGCAGAGCAAGCACCCACTAAGCCCCTTCACCAGGCCTTCTATTTCTTTTTTAAGGGTTTATTCTTCCTTTTAATTATGTGCATGTATATGAGTGCAGGTGCCTGCCCAGACCAGAGGCTCCTGCTGGAGCTGGAGCTGGAGTTGCATACGGTTGGAAGCTGCCTGACATGAGTGCTGGGAATTGACTCTGGATCTTCTGGAAGAGCAGAACTTGTGTGCTCTTAATAGCTGAGCCACCTCTCCAGCCCATGCATTCTTTTTATATTTTGAGAAAGGGTTTTCATGTGGCACAGGTTGGCCTCTGCCTGGCTATATAGCTAAAGATGACCTTGAACTTCTGACTCTTCTGCCTTCACTCAGGTTCTGGGATTTTCAAGATATACTACCATAGCCAGTTTTATGCAGGGCTGGAAATTGAACTCCTGGATACCAACTGTACTTCATCCATAGCCTTTACACTACTAGCCAAAACTGGAGGGGAGCCAGCACTTGCTTACCTCTGTACCAGCCTGTAAGCACCTGCCCCTCGCTGCACCAGGCAATCCTCCATGTGCTTCGTCTAAACTCACAACTTGGTAGTAGTACTAGTTTCATTGGGGTGTGGGGGTGTTGGGGCTTGAACACAGGCCTTGAACATGTTAGGCAATCAGTCTCCTACTGAAGTACATGCTCAGACTTATTATCCCTATTTTCAAATCTGGCAGACTGAGGCAGAGTGTGGTTCAGTAACTTGCCATATACTAAGTAGTCGGTGGGTGGCATGGCCAGGATTTGAGACCAGGTAGTGTGACAGCCATATTGCCAGCCATTGTTCATACTGAGTGTGGGGAATGCTTGCTGAATGAAACAAGAAACAGATGCATACAGGAATGAACGAATGAATATTTACACCTTATTCCCACAGGACCAAGGTGACACTGCTTTCCATCCCAGACATAGTGTACCTGGTACCTGAGACCTAGCATTTCCCAAGAGCAAGCAGTATGCTTCCTCCCCTTCTAGCTGATTCTCAGGGCCACTGAAGGGTCACTCACCTTCTGAGCGCAACATGGTCCCCATCTCCAGGGGAATGACCAGCAAGGGGAAAACCCCACTGAGCCCAACCATGAGAGAGCCCACGAGGGAGCAGATCCAGGTGTCAAGTCGCTCCCCACTCAGCAAAGCCCCCCAGGACTCGGTTTCTTTATTATCCAGGCGACAGGCAGCTGCAGCCCCCAGGCTCCGGAGGGCTGGCTGAGAACTTCCAACCCTTCCCAGAAGCTCCAGGGCAAGGAAAGTGAGGAAGACGACCCTTTGGCCTGCCATACCACAGCCAAGGCAGGGACATCCAAGCATGCCAGGTGCTGGAAAACACAAAAGACTGCTTATGTGATCTGCCTCCTTGGACTACATACCCACTTAGGAAGCCCAGCATCCTCCCACCCCCGTCTCAAGTGGCCATGGCAAAACCCTCCTGCTTGCTCTGCAGAAGTCATAGAATCCCAAGGGTGGGTGCACAGAGCAAAGGAGTTCTGCTTCTCTACACTTCTCCCAAGACCCACACATTTTTTCCTTCTGAGCTGGCTCCAGCTTGTGTGTCAATGTGTCTGCCTGAGGCTAAACTTTCCCTAATGACTGGGTGAGGCACTGGCTGGTCTTCCTTCAGCCACCGGAGGGCCCATCCCTGCTGGGTGTCTCTAGCTGCCAGGAGAGGCTTGGCTGCCAGGATGTGCCTCTGAAGACACTCCAGAGTCTAAGGCCAGCATTGGTTAACTTGATGGGGTGGCACTGAGGAGCACATGTGAGGAAACGAAGCAGTGGCTCAAACCCCGTCCCCTTAAATGATCTCTTGGGTACTGAAAGACAAGAGATGCCTCACAGATGCCGGAGCCACAGGCTATGGTGACTTGTGGCTGATTTGATAATCTAGACTTTAAGCCATTTGACTGTGGGAAACTCCTGTAGTCCTTCCGAGTCTTCATTAGGGAATGGAGCAGGTACTGCCTCCCTCACAGGGCTATGGCTATGAGATGAGCTTGATAGCGCAGGTAGCTGCTGGCACGGAGGAGGGCACATAAGCCCTCTGTGTGCCAGAGGAGGCCTGGAGCACTCCCAGCAGGAATGTGTTCTGCAGACAGATCACCGGATGGAGATGTGAGTCAACCAACCAAGAAGTTCAGTCTGGAAAGTTTAAGTGTGGTCTGCCCTGCCTTATACTGACCATGACCTTGACTGCCTCAGTTTCCTCATCTGCTAGTGGATGTGAATACAGAAATCATCTGCCTCTGGTTGGTGGACTAGAAGCCTATGTCTGGGATCTTCAGGCCTTAATTAGTGAGACCCTTACAGCCACCGCTGTCACCACCACCACCAAAAAAAAAAAAAAAAAAAAAAAAAAAAAGGGTGGGGGAGCTTCACTGGGACCAAGGCAGGCCCTAGCCAGGTCATGTCCTTGGCGGGTCATATAGAGGCGAGGACCACAGGTTTAGCATAGAAGCATGGGGTAGGGAGAGGAAGGAGAAAGCGAGAGAACGGAGGAAAAAGAGAGTCAAGAAAGTAAGCCAAGCCACATAGTGTCTGGTGGAGAGAGGACAAGAAGCAGGGCAGCGGGGAGAGATGAGGGGCAGAGTGTGGGACGACAGCGGTAAGGAAGAGTCAAAAGCAGGCAAGTTCCACTCCTAGACTCTGGCCCTGCGGCGGCCGATTTGGGGACCAGCACGATCCATCCGGCCCCGGACGCGGGCCTGAGGGTCCAGCGATCACTCACCGTGCGGTGGCAGAGGTGGCGGCGGCGGCAGCAGCTGCGGCGCTCCGGGCGGGCCCGGCCATCCAGCTGCAGTCTCGCGCCCCGCCCCGGCTCTGCCTCGCCCGGCCCCGCCACTAGGCCCCCCGGCCCGGAGCCACCCCCGGCGCGCAGCCACGTCACACGGGGCAGTCCGGAACCCGACGCACCCGGCTTCGGGGGGCTAGACGGAGCGGCGGCGGGGGGGCGCTTCCGCCTCTTAGCCATGGGGGACCCGCGCGGTCAGCGCACTTCCGCTCGGGCCGGATTACGGGGCTGCGGAGAGGGCAGGACGGAAGTGGGTAGCCCCACGGGCACCGCGTTTAGTCAAGCTAGGCTAGGCTGAGGGCGGCAGCCACGCGGGGACCGCGATTAACGGGGCGGCGGGGCTTGAGAGTGGCAGCGGTCTTCCTTCTGGGACTGCAGTCCCAGCAGTGGCCACGCGAGGGCGCGCGTGGATGCTACCTCCGTCCCGGGATAAGAGCATGGCTGTGGTTCTCTTGAGTCAGCCCGCAGGCCTGGCTCCTCCATGAGCTGGGGAAAGGGGAAGTGCCTGCCGCAGGGAGGGGCCTGGCTCCGGTACCTCAGAAGAGGGAATTTTATTCTTACTCATCGAATTATTTTTATGCTTTGGTTTTACACTTGGAACCTCAGGCCACTGGCTCCAGGACAGTAACCCTTTGAGGTCCAATACATGTCTCTAGACCCTGTGCCCTGGAATTCCAAACCTGAGCACAAAGGACTTTGGGTTCTATTAACCCTACACAAGCTGTGCCTGAATTCATAGACTACATGAGCAATTAATGGCAATAATTACTGTAGTTCTCTGATTTAGTGTAGCTTTTTACTGAACATCCACTATGTGCCACTCAGTAATTAGTAATAATAATAATAATAATAAATATCCTCATTTTCATCCTCCAGATGGATACTGACTTGGCCTAGGGTCGGCCAGCCACTTGGATGGCAGAACCAGAATTCAACTTGGATGTGCCCAGGGCATGTGGTAGCCATCTCATTTCTAAGCCTGAATACAGGTGCAAGTGTGGCCTAAAATCCCCTTTGCATCCTTTGCTGGGAATTAGCCAGCAACAGGCACAGGAGAACGCTCAGTGGAGGCCAAATGAATACTCTCTTGGGTAGACTGTGACAGACAGAGGGTCTCTTAAGTCTCTGGTCTCATTAGCTCTCACCTCCTGTGGCCACTCTACATCTGTGGCTGGCTGAGAGCAGACTGAACTCGCATACATTGCAGCCAATGCCTCACCTACCTCATGGTGTGTGTGTGAGTGTGTGTGTGTGTGTGTCTGTGTGTGTGTGTGTGAAACATACATGTTTGTCCATTGCTTATTGGCTTAATTTTTATTTTGAGTCTGGTTTTCTCTATGTAGCCCTGGCTGTCCTGGAACTTGCTACATACAAGCTGGCCTTGAATCCACAGAGATCTGTCTATCGCTTCCTCCTCGGTGCTGGTATTAAAGACATGTACCACCATTCCTGGTTTATTTATATTTTTTGAAATAGGCTCTCATCCTAGACCATCCTTGAACTTGATATGTAGCAGAAGATAACCGAGAATTTCTAGACTCCTGATCATAGGTGTGACTCCCACACCCAGTTTATGCAGTGCTGACACCAAGGACATTGTGCATGCCAGGCAGCAAGCGGTCTATTAGCTACATCCACAATACTGTACACTCTGTCCCCTCCCCAAGACAGGGTTTCTCTGTGTAGCCCTGCTGTCCTAGAACTCACCCTGTAGACCAGGCTGGCCTTGAACTCATAGAGATCTACCTGCCTCTGCCTCCCAAATCCTAGAATTAAAGGTGTGCGCCACCACACACAGCTAATATACTCTTAACATTTGTGCTTTCTAGACTACCAGCTCCTTCCAAATGCTTCCTGTCTGGCTTTTCTCACCAACCCCATACATCTCCCAGAATGTGCTCTGGGCTCTTACAGAAGTTCTGGAACAGAATGCCCAGTCAGATTCTTTGCCACGAGGAGATGTTTGGCGATGCCACACTAGGACTTTAAAGATGTCTGTATGCAAATCATGGCATCTTATGCAAAGCACCTCACAATATGCAAATGATTTCACAATAACACTGTCAGCATTCCTGTCTCTAGAGGTCAAGGGGCTCCCGGCCACCCAGGATGGGCACTAGCAAGACCCAGCTGGAAGTACTACTCACTATTACTTTCTTCCCGCCTGGCCTGGACTGTCTGCCAACAGAACGTAATGAATTAAAGAAGCAAGCATGTGGAGCTGGATCTTCAGGTGGAAGATCTATTGTTTGAAACACTGGCTTTGGTATGGAAATTTAAAAAGTTGATTTTGGGTGAATGTGAACCGAGTGGTGGCTCAGCGTTGGCTGCTCTTCCAAAGACCTTAATTCAGTTTCCAGTGATGAAACTGAGCCAGTTCAAATAATGGCTCACAACCACCTGTAACTCTACTTCCAGGGAATCCGATGCCCTCTTCTGATCTTCATGAGGTCCTCATACCCGTGGTGCACATACATACACTCAGGCACAGTGCCAGTCTGGTCTACATAGTGGGTTCCAGGAACGTTAAGGTGGTATAGTGAGACTTTGTCTCTAATTTTTCAAGATAGAGACTTACTCTAGCTCTGGCTGACCTGGGACTCACTATGTTATCAGCCTTTACTCAGACTCACAGAGATCCGCCTGCCTCTGCCTCTCCAGTGCTGGGATTAAAGGTGTGAGCCACCACTTTTTAAAAAATATTTTTATCAATATATTTTTATAAATATATAAAATTTATAAAAAATGTAAATATATTTTTATAAAAATATTTTTACAGTTTTTATATTTTTAAAAATCTTATATATTATATCCCGAACATAGCTTCCCCTCTTTCCTCTTCTCCCAGTCCCTCCCCCGACCCTTCCATCTCCCCAGATCCATTCTTCCTCCATTAATATATAAATTAAAGTTGATCTTGATCCAGGCGTGGTGGTGAACGTCTTTAATCCCAGCACTCGGGAGGCAGAGGCAGGTGGATCTCTGAGTTTGAGGCCAGCCTGATCTACAGAACAAGTTTCAGGATAGCCAGGGATATTACACAGAGAAACTCTGTCTTGAAAAACAAACAAAAGTTGATTTTGGGCTAAGGAGATGGCTCAATAGTTAAGATTACTTGCTGCACAAGTATCACGTCCTAAGTCAAGTCCCAGAACATACATAAAAAGGCAAGCTTGCCGGGGAGGGTGGGGAAGCTCAGTGTTAAGACCAACTACTTTTGTAGAGGACCAGGTTCAGTTGCTAGAACCCACACCAGTTGGCTCTTAACCACCTACAGTTCTGCCTCTCAAGAGCTGGGACTAAAGGCATGTGCTACCACACGTAGCTGGGTTCTCACCCCAGGGCCCAGGGCCAACACATGTAGACAAAAGCAGCCTCCAATTCATGACTGTGTGGCCTCCTAAAGGCAGCAGTCCTCCTCATGGGCCTACTGTGTGGGTCAGCAGGCAGGCAGTGGCATGCCATGGAATGTCATTGCCCTGGGCTGCAGCTGGAATGTGGCTCAGCCAGGTGTTCCCTGGCCACAGGTGGTACACAGGTGGTACACCTACCTCTCTGGAGTCTGTCCTGGGTCACTGTTCTCAGAGTGAACTATGCCGGTTTTGAGTTCTGGGGAGGCTTTTGTTTCTTAGCCCCAAGTCATACGTTCTGCAAACTGCAGAGCTTTCCACCCTCCGCAACTGTTCCATGTAGGGCCAGCCCTCTCCTCCTGCCCAGCCTCTCTACCTTTGCTGGTGCTGAAACCTCCACTTTGCCCTGACTTCATCTGTCTCTATCAGAATCCAACCTAGCTGTCCAAGGTGACCTTTAATCCCAGCACTCAGGAAGCAGAGGCAGGCAGATTTGTATGAGTTCAAAGTCAACGAAGTCAAGGTACTCGACATCGCAAGTTCCAGGCCAACCAAGGCTACACAGGGGGCTCTGTCTCAAAAAACAACAAAACAGCCACAAAATTCAGCCTGTTTCTAAGGCTTCTTCTCTGGAGCCTTCCTAAAACATCCACCCGAAGCTCTCCAGGCCTGAGTATTTGGGGTCCTTTACACTCACAGGCCTCTCCTGCTAATGCTGCAGCCTTCTGGAAAAGACGATTTCTTTGCCTATATATATATATATAAATATATATAACAATGTCTCTCTTTATTTCCTGCCCCAGGTGTGCTAATTTGGGGTGAAATCATTACATTTTTATGCAAGTCACCTTGGCCCTTTCAGGGTCTTCTTTAATTTCTGTGTTTATTTACATTTTCTTGCATGTGTAAAACACAGTCCTGCCTCCTACTTCCTTGTTGAAATAATCAGAATTTTGTGATGCTTAGCGCCTTGCTTGTGTTTTGTTTTGTTTTGGGGGCTGGGAATCCAACCCTGGGCCTTTCTGCATCGCAGGCAAAATTCTGCCTCTGATCTCTCCTCTCTCTCTCTCTCTCTCTCTCTCTCTGTCTGAACAAGGTCTCACCATTAATCCCAGCAGGTTTGGAATAAAACCCTTCCTCAGCCTCCTCAGTGATGGGATTACAGGTATGCTCAGTGCTCAGCTCTCTTTCTGTTTATAAAGTTCTTAATACATATGTGTGCATGACAATACATTATTTTAAGGTTTGTTTTCATTATTTAGTTTTACAATTGTTTTTGTATGGGTCCTGCACAATTATTAAATTTATGTACATGAGTGTGTATGTTCATAATGTTCAGGCAGGTGCCCAAGGAGGCCAGAGGGCATTGGATCCCCCTGTAACTGGAGTTGTGGACCAGCCGATGTAGGTGTGGCAACCGAAAAGGGCCTCTACAAGAGCAGTCATTGCTCTTAAGTGCTGAGCCTTCTCCCCAGTCCCATCTGGGAGAATATTTTAAATGGATCTTCTACCTTAAGCTTTGAAAGATATTGGTAGCAAACAGAAAGGAAAATTATTTACTATTTATTATTTATTTATTTATTTTGTGTTTTGAGACAGGGTCTCTCTACTTAATTCTGGATGTCTTGGAACTTGCAAT